TCTCACTGAGTTAATTGGTGCCTTGCAGTTGCTGAGGCTGGCTTTGAACTTGCAATCTTCCTGCCTCAACTTCCTGAGCTGCTGGGATTACAGGTGTGTGCCACCATGTCCAGTCTTTTTTTTTTTTTTTTTTTTTTTAAATTTTGAGACAGGGTCTAAGTTGCTTAGGGACTTGCTAAGCTGCTGAAGCTGGCTTTGAATTTGTGATCCTCCTGCCTTAGCATACTCTCAATGACAATATTGATGTTTTAAACAAGTCAACACATACATGTAAAGCACTTGGAACACTGACAGAGTGTTCAAAAAATATTAGTTATAATTATTAGACTACATAAAATACTTAGCCTTGACTCATGTTATTCTCCCACCTATATCCTTATCTTTTTGTTTTGCCAATTATTGAAATTATCTCTTGCTCAAATCTTACTTCCTTTATGAGGTGAGATTTTGCACTAATTTCTCTCTTTGACTTGTGTTGTACTCACGACATTGCCACAGTTAATATTCCCATTCCTGTTTTGTTGGTTGACCCCCTGACCAGCTCTATTAGAAATATTTTATTCTCTTTAAAATATATGAAACAGGGCTGGGGCTTGGTTCAGCGATAGCACACTTGCCTGGCAATGTGTGAGGCACTGGGTTTGATTCTCAGCACCACATATAAATAAAGGTCTATCAACAACTAAAAAATAAAACTACAAAAATAAAATAAAATATATGAAGCAAACCTGACAGTGTTCACATTAATTAGTTAGTTAGTTTGTTTGTTTATTTATTTATTTATGGTGTGGAGGATTTAACCAGGGCCTTGTGCATGCAAGGCAAGCACTCTACCAACTGATCTAAATCCCTAGCCCTTACATTAGTTGATTTTGATTAAGATTTTTTTTAATATTTATTTTTTAGTTTTTTAGGTGGACACTGTATCTTTTATTTTTATGTGGTACTGAGGATGAAACCCAGTGCCTCATACATGCTAGGTGAGCACTCTATCACTGAGCCACAACTTTAGCCCCTTGATTAAGATGTTTAATACACTGTTGAAAGAAAATGTAGTCAAGAGTTCAGCTTACTTAAATTTCTACTCAGAATGTGAAGCTGCCCATTTTGGCAGAACTCATGTGGGTTCATGTCTACATCAACCCAAACTAGTATATCTTTTTACAGGATGACAGACAGACTGGTCTTGAGAACCATATTGAAGTATTTGTCCCAAGGCCTCCACTTGTTGAAATTAAAATGCCAGGAGGGGACAGAGCAGACTTTGGAGATATCACTAAGGGTGAACTCCCAAATGTTTGTTGGTGCCAGCTGTTYTCACTGCTGTAGGCTCTGGGGACACAGTGGAGCTCATAGATTCTAGCAAGGGAGACAGACTGCAAATCAAAAACAAAAGGAATATGTCAGAGTAGTAAAGTCATAACACATAGAAATCAAATGATAATCAGAGTGACTTGGGGGTGGCTTTTTTAATATTGGGCACACAGGAAAGGCCTCATGTGAGGAAGTGACATCTAAGCTAACCTCTGGTAATAACCCCTAGGCAGTGGGAATAGGTAATCTGAAGGAACTAAAGGTGGAAATAAGCTTCCTTGTTGGGAGGATCAGGTAGGCTGTGCTCGAATGTTGAAATAAGAGGAAAAAGGAGATCCAAGGGGCAGCCAGGGCCTAGCCATGTAAAAATTTGCAAACCCAAGTTATAAAGGTTGTATTTTATTTTTCTTGAACTATTTTATTCTAGGTTTGATGGGATGCAATTGGAATTAAAAAAGGTAATGGTATGATCTGATTTGCATTTTAAAATCAATATAATTGTTTTGTATATAACAAATTATACAGAGGTTGGACTGGAAGCCAGGAAATAATTTAGGCTTTTGTAGTTAAGATGTTAATGATTGGGAGTGGTGATAATGGAGATGGAGAGAAGAGAGTAGATGCTGGGTATGTAGAGGGTATAGTAAGATGTAGGGCATAGCTAAAGAGCAGTGTGGGGGTCACTGGATGGAAATTACTAAGAGGAAACATCAGGGGGAAGATTCTGATAAACCATCTAAACAAGACTCTTGGTGATAGGCCAGGTGATCCGACATCGCATAGTCATGAGGAACCTGATCAAATGCCAAGGATAATCAGGTATTGAGGATAGAGTGTTCTTGCCAAAATGACTTAGCAGCGGTTTTTAGCTAAAACTGGGCCTAGAAGGGCAGATGGGCCTAGAAGGGTTTGACTAAATTTGGCCAAGTAGAAGATTTTTTGTCAGTGCACACACACCAGTATTAGCAATTCAAATTCTAGGAAGAGGGATATCAAACTTTCATAAAGGAACCTTCTAAATGTTAACATAACWATGTAACAATTATAGTTGACCTCTATGTAGGCCTTACCATAAAACCAGAAAATATTTAGATTAACTCAATCCCTCCAACAATCCAATAAGGGTGAGAAGAAATTATCCTGTGTCTTCTTCCCCAGCAAATCATCTTTTGATGAGTGGGAAAGTTAGCCTATGAGAACTGGACTGGCTGAGTAGCCCAGTGCCTTTTTCCTGGGAGTTGTGCAACCTGCTCAATGATAGCCAAAAGTTGGCTGAAGAATTATTCCCAGATATTGGAGACAAATGCCTTTTTATATTTATTAAAATTTATCATTAGCAGATAAACATGACAGAGATTCAGCCTCAGCTTCCAAAGCAATTAACAATTTTACAATATCTGCCTAAGCAGAAAACAACAGGCAAAACAATGGCATTGTGTGCAATCAGCATTGTTATCAGATCATCTTTCCTGCACTGCTTTTACTCATTTGCTTGTTTATTTTTGAAGAGCCATGGAAGGCGCCCAGGGCTGTGCTACACCCCAGACCATCAGCAATATTTTACCCCTGAATATTTTGCTAAATCCTTACCAGGGTACCTTCATTGAAAATACTCTCAAAACTTAAAAGAATTCACCTTRAAACACTAATTTTCCATGAAAACCCATAGAATCTAGAACAATGAGGACTTTTTCAGAGAGTATGGAATAATTCAGATGAAGAGACTTTCCAAACAACTTTTGTCACTAAGGTTTATTTCAATTTAAGACATGTGAATTCAGAATTAGTGTAATGTAAATCTCAAAGTTTGTGGCAAAAGAACTGCTATTAAGGGTTTGGGTAAAATCTTGATGGAGCCAGGTGTGGTGTTGCACACCTGTAATCCCTGCTACTTGGGAGGCAGAGGCAAGTTTGATGACAGCATGGGCAACTTAGTGAGACCCTGTCTCAATATTTTTTTTTAAAAGGGCTGGGAATGTAGCTCAGTGCTAAAGCACTTGCCTAGCATGTACAAGGCCCTGTGTCCAATTCCTGAAAAGAAAAAAAAATTTTTTTGTGGTACTTGTGCATGTATATAGACAGACATTAACAAAATAAGAGGCACATTCTGAAGAGAATCAAATTTGGACAAATTCTGGTTTGTAAAAATAAATTCAGTTCCCCCAGGAGAAGTAATTTGCATTTTCACCATCAGTTAAAAATGAAAAGAGCACATTTTTCTCTTCTAATTGTGACCATCACAGCACTGTACAAAGTGCAGTACAGTTTGTACTAAAGTACAACAAACCCAAATTCTTTTTATCAGAGAATACAGTAAACCATAACAAGACTCTTAGTTAAACAGGGTTTACATATAATGTACTACAAAACATTTTCTTTTGAAAATAAATACTGTATAATCTATTTTCAAGCATCAAACAATTGAAACAAATATATACTGGAACAAAATTTCCAAACAGTTTAAAAATTTATATACATACAAAGCCATACATATAACATCAAATAACATCTAGTTTTATATATGTAAACTAAACATTCACTAAAAATGATTTCTGTATGTGTAAACTAAGTATAACACTTGAACATTTAAAAAGAAATTGATGTTCTGTTACACATTATCAAAGTCTATCCTCTGAATAATTTGAAGATATTTCTACTAAAAGGCAAATACAGACTAAAAATAGAAACAGTGCATCTCAAAGTTTTTCAGAGACTTACATATCAGTAATTTTCAAGCATATAATTTATTGTGTGCTATGGTTTGAAACAAATTTTCCCTGAGCACTTTCTGTCTGGTTAGAAAAATTAAAACATGATTTATAAAACAGAATTTTATTTTAATTTTTCTTGAAGTATGCAATTTCTTGCCATCTGATATATTTGGGAAGTTTTTAGACATCTGTAAGGTATCCAGCAATCATAACTGTTTTAAAGGGCTACTTGAATGGCTACAGAAATATAGATGGGTCTTGAAGCCCTGAGACAATGAGTGTCTCACACAACTGAAGTAATTTGTTATCCTAAAACTATCAATAGTTATTTTAACAAATTCAGAATGGCACTAGTTCACAGAGAAAAAAAGTAATCATTAGTGATTCCAGCTTAGATGATCAAAGGATAAGCATGGAAAACTGAAAGCCAAAGTTGCATTAGCATTCTATTTTCTATGGAATAATGCTGAAAAAGAAACTAACCAACACAGTATTTAAATACCTACCTCACCTTGAAACTTTATTAATGCAGTTTTGAGATCTGTTGCTCCTTAATATTCATGCAGATTTAAAATCAGCATCACTGGAAATTTCATCATATAAACTGCAGTTCTCAATGGTATACCCAAGATTTACAGCCCAAAAGACATACTACAATCAGTGCACATGCACAGTAACACTACCAGTTGTGTTCCCTTAAWATTTTAGCCACTTGACCATTTAGGCCTCTTCTCTTCAAATAAATAATAACAAATATTAGGAATCTTAACTATGCAAAATTTGTAAATTGTTTTCTACATAGCCTAGAATTATACTAAAAGAAAATTGGAAGTTTCATATTTACAATTAAATTTTCATAAAACCTAACTATATATGTCTCTTAGCATTGTGATTTATGTGTCTTGCAAGAACAATTAATAAATAGAACATTGAGRAGTTATCATTCTGAAGATCTTCAAGAAGCAAGCAATTTCAGATGTCCAGGAAGTTATCTTCTGTCTTTTTATATTTTAAGGTGCTTTATACAGGACGCCCTGGACCAAAACGACTTTTAGACCTAGATTTTTTTAAACAGAAAAAAAGGTCAGAGTTGCTTCTAGAATAACAGGAAGTTGCTGCTGCTTTAAGATTGTTTGCTTGACAATATTCAAAGTTTAATGAAATTTCATATAGCTCCATAATTAATTTTGTAAACCCCTTGGAGTAAGATATATTTTGGAATTCATATTAAGAGATCATATGGTATGCATAATGTATAGGAGCAGGGTCCTGTACACATTGTTTCTTCAGTGAAACAAATGAACATTTATATTAAGTGAGAAAAGTGAAGACTACAAATATCAGAGCAGATTAGTTCAAGTTTGTTTTTTTATTTTCTCCCAGTACTGGAGACTGAACCCAGGGATAGAGAAGCACTTTGTCACAGAGCTATAATCCCCAATCCCTTTTTAAGCAATTTTGAGATAGGATTTTTAGTAAATTGTTTAGGCAATCTTTGATCCTGTGATCCCAAGTAGATGGGATTACAGGCATGGACCACTGCATCTGGCCTCAGTTAAAGGTTGAATTGCACAAATGTACAAACTGACTCACCCACCAAAAAACCTTTGACTTTCTGAGCTTTCTCTATTTCAAAATTATAGATAAGGAATTAGAATGTGTAATATATTAATATTCAAATCTCAATCTTTAAAAGAAAATTTGTGATATAAGATGACATAAGATTTATAAGTTATATTTTATTAAAAACAAAATAATAAAACAAGAAATGAGAAAGACTTCATGGATTTATATGAAGTAATAACATATAATCTACAAAGACTACAAAAATTTTGCTAATTCACAGTTGCATTGTAGCTTTCATTTTTATCAGCATTGGTTTATGAAGCCAGCCCAATAAGTGAAAAACTAAAACAAAAACAAAATAAAACCTTATGCTTTCATTAAATTTTGTGTTCATGAACTTTTCTCAATTTGGGGGTTAAAATCTGGTTCTGATTGATGGTTAATCCTTGAAGCAAAACATAAAACCAAACACAAATGATGTGCTTCTAGTGTTTTTGGCTTAAAAAAAAATCACTTCAAAATCATGACCTTCTGAATTAGTTTCTGCTAATTTACCTTGTGTTTTTCTCTGAGCTGTTTTGCCGTGCACTGGCTGGTACGGAGGCTTTGATTTGTGCTTCGAGCCTGGAATAAATACCTCCTGCAAACTACAAAATAAAGAAGCAAAATTAAGTTATTTTCAAGGAATAAACAGAAGTTCTGTTTTACTAAAATAGCATATTCTTAAATTAATAAATTATGGTATTTTTAGTCTTTAAAATTCAGACTTTTTGAGGGGTATAATTTACATACAGTAAAATTCACCCTTTTAGCCTACAGTTTGGGGTTTTGACAAATGCATATAGTTTTGTAACTACTATCACAATGAAGATACAGGATAATTCTATCACCCCCCAAAAAATCCTGTGTCCCTTTTAAATTATCCATCTACCACTATAAATTCCTGGCAACCACTCATCTGTTTTCTGTTTCTACAGCTTTGTATTTTCCAGAACATTTTGTGTGTGTGTGTGTGTGTGTGTGTGTGTGTGTGTATCATATAGTACATACAGCCCGTTTCTCTCACTTAGCATATAATGTACATGGGATTTATACACTTTGTTGTATACATTTGGAGTTTGTTGTCTTTTGTATGTATGTATAGTATATCCATTTGTTAAATGTAAAACTTTTGATGCTAGGAATTCTCTGAATAAAGGGGCTTATTGAGGCATTACAGAAATTAAAACAGAACAAAGAAAGGACCAGGTTCTGGGACAACTTATCTAGCTACTAGCAAGATTAGATAGCAGTTGAGCTTATTCAACCTGGAGACTGGGAGTATTCTTACAATAAAAATTGGAAAATTAAGGCAATAAGTTGCTTACATCAAATTTACATTAGTTACTGATAAAAGTGGCAGGGTATGATGAAGCAGGGGAAGCTTCAGGGTGGGAGGACAGGCTACCACAGAGAAGTATTTGATATTTGAGGATTGGTTGAGGTTCATAGTTGAGAAAATTGTTTTATGAGCTGATTGCATCTGACATTTAGTAAACTGGGGTGTAAGTCAAACTTTCAACATATATTCCTATATTACTTCCTCTCTTTTCTTTTTCCTATTCATCTTTTGGCTTTTTTTTTGGCAGCACCCAGAGCCTCAAGCATGCTAGACAGGCACTATACTTCTGAGCTACATCCTCAGCCCTTTTTATCTTTTTATTTTGTTTTGAGATAGGGTCTCGAAAAGTTGCCCAGGCTGGCCTTGATCTTGTGATCTTACTGCCTCAGCCTCTAGAGCGGCTAGAATTATGGTCATGCACCACTCTGCTGGCTTCCAGCCCTTCTTAATTTACCATATCTTGTCATTTTATTCTTGTCACATTTACCAGGAAAAGGACATCATTTGGGAGTGTTACTAATTTTTGGTATTTATTAGTAAAACCACTATAATTGTATAAACTAATTTATATGGGAGTGTTTAGAAATTGCTACACTATTTTCCAAATGGCCAATTTTTTCATTCCTACTAGCTCTTATATGAGAGTTAGTTGCTTTACATACTCATTAGCACTTGGTACTTTTAAAAAATTTCAGACACTTTTAGTTAGTGTATATTGGTATGGCATTGAGGTTTTAATTTGTATTTCCCTAATGACTAATTATGTTGCATCTTTTCATGTGTTTATTTGCCATCTGACTCCCTTCTTTCAAAGTGTTTGATTAATCCTCTGCCTATTTATTTTAATTGAGTTATTACTGAGTTTGGAGAGTTCTTTACAAATAACTGTTTTGTATCTATTTTCTATTAGTACACACAGCTTTTCTTTTCATTCTCTTAATAGTGTTATTGAAAAATAACTTTAAATTGGAATGAATATGATTTGTCAATTTTTTCTTTTATGTTAGTGAAAGAAGAATGCAATCAACAAGAATTTATAAATGTATCTTTTGTAATTGGTGTTGTAGCTAAGAAATATTTGTCTATCCTGTGGTTACAGATATTTTCTCCTATATGTATTTTATTTTATTTTTGATGCTGGGGATAAACCCAGGGCCTCATGCATGCTAAGCACATATTTTACCAGTGAGCTATACCCTTAGCAGGAAAGTAAAATTTAAATAAAAGGATTAGGGCAAGAGTTATAGTACATACAAAACATAAATACTTATGATAATACATGATACTGTGACTCATATGTAATTCTAGTTAGAATGCAGGCATTTCTAGTCATCATTTTCAGCAAGATCTCATCTTATTTTAGAGATAACATCTAAATGACACACACAAAGTTGATAAAAATTAGCACATTCAGAAAAGCTGCCCTCTGGATAGTTAGCATTTGGTTAATAAGGACAGTTATTCTACTTTTGGTGTGACATCACACTTCAGTGACACTATAGTTCATAATGTATGATATAAAGGACCCCTGGACCACAGATAATAGAAAACTTTATGTGAATTGTGGCTAAATGGTACAGAACACAAAATTATCTAAATTGTTCTTTTAAAATTCTTCTTAAAACATCTTTATACTCTTTATGTTAAAAATAAAATTATGAAGGAATGTTCTATATAAGTATAATATAATAGTGAACAGTTCTTACTTCTTTTGTTTCCTTTGACTTGACTCGGTCCAGATCACCCAATCTCATTTTTATTAGATGCCCTGTAATTTCAGACATCCGCCGCTGATCTGAAGGTAAAAAATGATAAGTATTATTTCTCATGAGGATGACTTATAATTTTTATTTCTTAAAGAAGATTGTAATCAACAAGCGTTTACAAATGTATCTTTTGCTATTATTTTTCAGATGCATACTTCTATGAAGAATTTAAGGCAAGTGGAAAAATGACTTGTATTTTGATAATTGTGCTGATTTTTAGGTTACTATAAACCTATGATTTGGATATGATTTGAGTATGTCCCCCAAAGGTTTATGTGCTAGAAGCCTGGTGTCCAGCGTAGTGATTTTTATTTTTTTAAATTGGGGATTGGAATCAGGGGCACTCTACCACTGATTATACCCCCAACACTTTATTTTTCATTTTTATTTTAAAACCCGGTCTTGCTAAGTTGCTGAGGCTTGCCTCAAACTTGTGATTATCCTGTCTCAGCCTCCCAAGTTGCTGAGATGACAGGTGTGTGTCACCATGCTTGGCCTTCAGTGTGGTGATTCTCAGAGGCGGTGGAACCTTTCAGAGGTGGTAGCACCTTTAACAGATGGGGCCTAGTGGAATGTAGTTAGGTCACTGGGAACACCATCTTTGGAAGAGTTTAATGTAGTCCTTGTGTGACTCTGCTTAATTCCTACAAGAGCAAATTATTATGAAAAGAATAAGCCTGACCCCCAAATCTCTCTTTCTTCCTGCTTTGCTATGTAATCTCTCTCTCTTGCATATGCTCCCACCACGATGCCATCTGCCATGTGGTGATGTAGCCAGAAGGCCTTCACCAGACCAAACATTTTGTTGTAACAACAGAAAATAGACTAAGACATAGCCTAAAACATATTCAGTCATTTTTTACAGAAAAAGTAGGGGGCAAAAGTCAGTCTAAAAGGTCTCAAAATTATAGACACATAAAACAATACATTATTCACTGAATTATCTAGTAATGAAATCCTGGTTGGTGACTAAGATAATGTGCAAATTTTGGGACTTATACCATATAAAACCTTTGAAGCTATTCAGCATACTTCATAAAATAAAAGATGTTCTTATCCACATAATAAATTTTACCATCTTCTCTTTGTGCATCTTGGTTGAATCTCAAGGACCTTGTGGCATCCCATTTATTCTTCTGCATACTTACACTATTGAAAAAATTTTTTWAAAATTAGCATTGATGCTTCTTTAAGAGTAGATATTTTAATTAGATTAAAGAATAATACTCACATGAAAGGAGACACATCTCTAGAAGCTGACTAAAAAATTAGACAACATTAAGCTCCAATTAGAACATATTTACAAATTAGTTTTATAGCTAATTATAAAAACAGTTTACATTTATTGAGCCAAAAGCATTCAATAAATACCAAGTGCATTTACAGCACTAAGAACATTTACAAGTATATTTCATTTAAACCTTGCAACAACCATGTGCAGCAGGCAATATTTTATGATCTTCATAATAAAATAGGCTCAGAGAAGTTAAGAAAGTTCTCTAAAGAGATATAGACCTAGAATTTGAATCTACTTTGTCAGTTATGAACATTTAAATTGGGTTTGAATTAATCTAATTTGTGAGCTTGTGCTACCTAACACAAAGATGAATGTACAACTTGTCCAATCTCAGCCCCAGCCTTTCACATATTTTTGGAACTCATAATTTCTGTTTTTAGTCAACTGCAGCTATTACTGTCCTTAGTCCTATCTGTTTTTTTACTCCTTCCTTTAATGGCACGGGGAAATAAAAATCATTTGAAAGGCCATAAAATATAATTTGTTTTTAATTAATTAACTAATTTTGGGTACCAGGGATTAAACTCAGGGATACTTGGACACTGAGCCATATCCCCAGCCCTATTTTGTATGTTATTTAGAGACAGGGGTCCCACTGAGTTACTTAGAACCTCGTTTTTGTTGAGGCTGGCTTTGGACTTCGGATCCTCCTGCCTCAGCCTCCTGGGCTGCTGGGATTACAGGCATGTATCACTGTGCCCAGCTTATTTTTAATTTTAAAAGTCCACTTCCCTCTTATTTTTTGAATAAGTGATACTGGTTTAAAATTCAAAAGGTTCAAATAGCAAATATAATAGAAAGCCTCTTACATTTTTAAAAAATATTTTTTAGTTGTCAATGGACCTTTATTTTTATACACAGTGCTAAGTATTGAACCCAGTGCCTCACACATGCCAGGCAAGTGTTCTACCACAGAGCAGCAAACCCAGCCCTGAAAGCCTCTTACCTTTATCCTCTCCACATTCAGTTCCTTTCCTTAGGGCCAATCAATCTTATCAATTTCTTATGTAGCTTTCTAGAGATAGTTTATGTATATATAAGGAAATTCATACATATTTCCCCATCTCCTTTACACTGTGAACAYTGTTCTGCATCTTCTTTTTTTTTCATTTGTCAATATATCTTAAAGATCTTTAATCTCAATCTATAAAGAACATCATTCATTTTTACATTACTAGCATTCCATGAGAAACTCATTACTCTTCTATATTTTATTTTTCCTGAATATACTTGCTTATTTCTTCATATGAACTTTAGAATAAAAAAATGATCAGTTACCTTCTCCAATGCCTTTTCTTTCTTTTGTGCACAGGGTGAAGACATCTGCTTTTTTGGTGGTTTAGTGAACTTCTTTGGTTTCTCCTTTTTCCCTGATTATAGAAGGTCAATGTTATGAGTATAAGTCTCAGACCTCTCCAATTTACTTGCTACTTTTAAAAAAAATACCTTTATTTTATTTATTCAGTTATTCAGTGCCTCACACATGCTAGGCAAGTGCTCTACCACTGAGCCACAACTCCAGCCCCTTACTTGCTACTTTTAAACAATGAAATCATTTTTAAAAAACACTAAAAAGCTAAAAATTACCTTTGGACAAAACCCCCAAATACAGAGAAATTAAACTGAAACTGACTTACATGAGTTCATTTTAATTACATTTTTCCTTCTATTTGGTGAAACTTTTTGGGGGAAAAAAGTGAGAACAATGAATATGAAGTCCCACTTATATGAAATAGGAAAAATGGAGAAATTACATATTTATTTTCTGAATTTGACAATGGAATCATTTTCTTTTCTTTTTTTTTTTAAAGGAGACATTTTTTTAATATTTATTTTTCAGTTCTTGGCGGAGACAACATCTTTGTTTTTATGTGGTGCTGAGGATCGAACCCGGGCCGCATGCATGCCAGGCGGGCGCGCTACCGCTTGAGCCACACCCCCAGCCCCTGGAATCATTTTCTAATTCCAAAATTTTTACTTAAAATTACTATAATGTAGAAAAATACAATTTGAGAATAGGGTGAGTAGTCATATACATACAAAATCTTTTTTTTTTTTTTAGTTGTAGATGGACACGATACTTTTATTTTATTTATTTATATGCGGTGCTGAGGATTAAACCCAGGGCCTCACACATGCTAGGCGAGCTCTCTACCACTGAGCCACAACCTCAGCCCCCACATACAAAATCTTTAAAATGGTTTTTGTTCAGGAAGGAGGTAGGACAATAATGATCTTGGGAAGATGCTGAGTTTAGATAAATTATATTCTGGACTAAGTCATTCTTGGAGTCAATATTCTGAATCTATCCTGGCTGACTATGAAGTGGACAAAGGAGGGAAAAAATACAAGGAGGGGGAAGAAGCATTCCATAAAAACAATATATGAAGGTAAGGACTATACTGAATAACTGTTTCCCAAATGGAATTATTTGTTTACCTTCTCCAGAAGTCTTGCTATATTGTTTAAGAAGGAAACTATCAAAATGATAAGTGGAAAACCCATGCTACATAGACAATAACCTTGAAAATGCTGTAACAAAAAATTAATAATCTAGATAGATTTACTTGCCTGCTGACATGYCCTGACCCCCTAACACCTCTCTCTGTTAAACTGGGTAACAAGTTTTATAAAGTTGCTAAAAAATATGATAGGGTAGGACATATGGTAATGACAATATGAAGGGGCTGAACAATTCCTTACTAATAAAACAGCCATAAAAACAGAACAAAAAATTATAAACAACCATCTGAAGGTAATAGTAAATAGTCAAAGTTAGGCTGAAAATTGAGCATTTACACTATAAAAATTCATGAAGTAAAACTGAGTTTGTGGCCTTCTTGCCTGAATGTACTTCCTGGCTCAGGGAGGGAAACTGCAGCCTTATGAGCCCAGGCAGAGGATGACAAGTATTCAAAGTAATAGAGAAGCTACAATTGTAAAGAAGAAATTTTGGAAGCAAGAAAGTCACACAAGACCTAAAATCTAAAATGTGAGTACAAAATGTCCATATTCTTAGTCAAGTATTAAACTTGGAAACTGTATGAGAGATTCTAGGAAGCCCAGGTAAAAGGCAGGTAGAAACTATGTTGGACCATCCACTCTGCAAAACAGAACTGCTCTTAGTGAGATATGAGAGTTTTTTTGTGCTTTTGAATGGATTCTTTCCCCAAACTGCACATATCTCAAGCTTCTGACAGCAAGACATCTTACTGGCTTGATGTATCAGAGTATAGACTTGGATCTGGAAAAACTACTAAAAATTCAGGTGGCATTTGTAAACCACGGGATCCACTAAGTAGGTGAGCCCCAATATCTGAATGTAATCTGTATCTRTATCCTTGGCTGACTCCTAAGCTACACAGGATGGTGTGACTGGGGATGAGGGTGAGGTAGGCTAAAGCAATAGCCTACCTGTGCAGTTAGCAGTTAAAACACCTGTGCAGAGACAATCATCTACTGCATATCATAGGTGAGACAATCTGCAATTTTAATCAGGTAAATTAACCACCTACTAGAACAACAACAACAACAACAACAAAAATCAACAATTCTCAGAAGAACAAACCAGATTTCAGAGTTGCATAAGGAAAACCTTCATTTTTCAACCAAAAGTTTCAAAATAGAAATTCTGACCCTCTTAGAAAAGAAACAGTTAACAGAAACTGACTTGGAGAGGGCCTACATATTGGGTTTAGCAGATACTTCAAAACAAATGTTAATAGAGAAAAAAATTGTTTTATTTAGTGAACACAGAATGTCAAGCAAGAAGTAGAAACCATAAACAAGAACTGAACAAATTCTGAGCTCTTTTCAACAATAATCAAAATAAAAAACTTTCCTATATAAGCTCAAAAARTTTTGAAATAGCAGAAGAATGAATCAGTAAAAATGAAGATAAAGTATTAGAAATTATCCAATCTAAAGAACAAAGGGTAAAGAGAAGTTAAATGAAAAGAAACAAAGTCTTCAAGTCTCTGGGACAGTATCAATTTATTTTTAAAATTCTTTTGGTGGAATAAGGGGTCAAATGCAGGAGCACCCACCACTAAGCTATATCCCAGCCCTTGTTATTTTTAGACAGGGTCTTGCTAAATTGCCCAGGCTGGCCTTGACCTTAAAATTCTACTACCTCAGAGTAGCTAGGATTATAGGCTTGTACCACTGTACCCAGCTCATCTACTTCATGTGCAACTGAAATTCCAGAAGATGAGGGGAAGATATTTAAAGAAACAATGACTGTAAGCTCCCCAAAATTTGTGAAAAACATCAATTTATAGATCTAAGAAGCTCAATAGACCTTAAGCATGATAACGGAAAAGAAAACTATGCCTAGGCACAACATAGTCAAATTTCTAAAAGATAATGATAAAATCTTGAAAGCAGCAAGATAAAACAGACAACATAAAATGACACAACAGCAAGATAAAATGACACTATTGATGGCTGACTTCTTGTCAGAAACAGTGCAAGCCAGAAAACAGAGTCTCAGTTACTGAGTAGCTGAGGATTACAGATGCATGCCACCATGTCTAGTCTTTTACACTTTTTTTTTTTTTGTACTGGGGATTAAACTCAGGGGCACTCAACCACTGAGCCACATCCCCAGCCCTGTTTTGTATTTTATTTAGAGACAGGGTCTCACTGAGTTGCTTAGTGCCTCACTGAGGCTGGCTTTGAAGGAGCAATCCTCCTGCCTTAGCCTCCTGAGCTGCTAAAATTACAGGTATGTTCCACCACTCCTGGCTAGCCTTTTACATTCTTAAGTGACGTGCAATCATTTAAAGCAAAAATCATAACATTGTTGAGTTTACAATGTACATACAGTTGACCCTACGTATTTGTGTTCTACATCCGTGGATTCAATCAACTGCAGATTGAAAATATTGGGGGGAAAAACTGTCTGTACTGAAAATGTACAAACTTTTTTCTTGTCATTAAGAAAAAACAATATAGTATAATAATTATTTAAATAGTATTTGTGTCCATCTACAACTAAAAAAAATATTTTAACCCCAGTCACTTTGCAAAAACAATTTTTCARATTTTCATAAAGTTAAACACATTTACTATGTGACCCAGAAATTCTATTTTAGGGGTCTCTTCAAGAAAAATGAAAACATGTCCACAGTAATTTGTAAGCAAATATTCACAGCAGCATTATTCATAATAACCAACAATTGGAAGCAACCTAAATGTCCATGAAATTGTGAATAGATAAATATGGCATACTCTTATAATGTAATACTACTCTGCAAAAAAAAAAAAAGAAAAAACTACAGACATATGCAACAATATGGGTGAATCTCAGAAATAAACTATGTGAAAGAAGACAAAGACAAAAGACTGCTCATGATTCCATTCATATGAAATCCTACAAAAAGAAACCATAGTGACAAAAAACAGTTGCCTCAGAATTGAAAGGGAAATTAATGTAAAGGGCAGGATAGAATATTTTGGAATGATATGCTAGACCTGTATGCCAAAACTCACCAATGCAAAAATGGGTGTGTTTTATTAAATGTAAATTATACCTCAAATAGTTGAAAAACATGAACATATTAGCAATTTCTCCTTGACGAATGAGAAATGAAAAAAAATAATAAAATACCAGTTTGGGGTTCAATCTCTGGTACTCCCACAAAACAAAAAACAACAATAACATTTTTTTTTCATTAGGGGATTCAACATGTTAAGGAAAATTAAGTAAAACAAAGATAAGACAAAGAGAGGGCCACATTGTTTTTTTGTTGTTGTCAATGTATCTTTATTTACTTATTTATTTTATGTGGTGCTGAGGATGGAATCCAGTGCCTCACACATGCTAGGCAAGTSCTCTGCCACTGAGCCACAACTCCAGCTCCCCCACATTGTCTTTTTAATGTCTCATAAAGGATCATTTAACAGGCCCACTCAACAATTATTTAATTCTCTAAAAAAGCTCCTTTTGCTATTATTTTTATTTTTWAAAAATTTTGATGCTGGAGACCAAACTCAGAGCCTTGTGCATGCTAAATATGTGCTCTATCAACTGAGCTACAACCATAATCTCAACTATCTACTGGTTGAAGTCCAGACATAGTAAAGATACATGTTATCTTGTTTTCCTAACAGAATTGGAAATTATTTCTATCTAGTAGAAAATATAACCTCAAAGTTTATTCGTTTATTGCTTTGTAGGACATTAATCATTTTGGTAAACTTTATAAACTTTRTTTAACTTTATAAAAATCTGACTTACAATCTTTTTTTAACATTCTTTTTTCAAATACCTATAAATAGCAGGGTGCAGTGGCCCACACCTGTAATCCCAGCAGCTCTAGAGGCTAAGGCAGGAGGATCTCAAGTTCAAAACCAGCCTTAGCAAAAGTGAGGTGGTGCTAAGCAACTCAGTGAGACCCTGTCTCTAAATAAAATACAAAATATGGCTGGGGATGTGGCTCAGTGGCTGAGTGCCCCTGAGCTCAATCTCGGGTACTCCCCACTCCCCCCCAAAACCTACAAAAACCCAAAAAAACAAATACCTATAACACGTGAGTCTTTAAAAGGCTGTTTTGAACCAATTTTACCTGCTGTTTCTTGAAACCAATGAGTTGAAAAGTTTTGACCCAACTTCATATTATAGTTGTATAATAAACATGCTTTTTTAAAAAAATTTTAGTTGTAGATGGACACAATATCTTTATTTATTTATTTATTTATTTTTATGTGGTGCTAAGGATTGAACTCAGTACCTCATGCTTGCAAGACAACCGCTCTACCGCTGAGCTATAACCCTAGCCCATAAACATGCTTTTAATATTTTAAAAAAATCATACTTATTGAACGGCTTATTTGAGTTCCACTTCAAATCATCTCAGGTTCGTGTCTCTGATCACATTTCGCCTAATCTGAGTCACAGATTACACTGGAAGTGGAAATTGGCAGATTTATTTCTCAGTACACTGTACTTTACAACTTTATGGGAATCTTAAAGGAGCATCCTTTCTTTCTTTTACTCCCAATGTTATAACCTGCCACATAGAAACATTTTAAAGACAATTTYCCAATCCTTGCTTGCATCAAGCTTCAGAATATAACTTCTTCATAAAGAATGTGATTTAATTTTAATTTAGAAGTCAATACTTTGTTTCTTGGATACTTCTTCTTCATCACCAACTTCATCTTCAGTGACCTCAGATCCAGTGGTATATTCTTCTTCTTCTGAAAATAATGACTGTTGTTTCTAAATTAACAAACACATCTATTACAAATGTATTATTATCAACTCTGTAATGAATTCCTTAAAACACATTTAACTATACTTATTTTGGATGAATTAGTTGAACAAGAGCTGATAAAATGACTCCTGTCTACCTTGCACAACATTCAGGATATGGTCATRGGAATTTCTATGTTTAGGGCTGGTGATGTAGCTCAGTGGTAGAACACTTGCCAAGCAGTGTGAGTTTACAAGTTTGATCCCCAGAACTGAGAATTTCTATATTCTGGATTGCATTACATCTAATATTTTTAAAAAACATTTTTTAAAGATGTTGATGGAACTTTATTTTATTCATTTATTTATATGTGGTGCTGAGAATCAAATCCAGTGCCTCACACATGCTAGGCAAGTGTTCTACCACTGAGCCACAACCCCAGCACCTACATCTAATATTTTAAAATTTATTTCCTTCACAGAATCTAGAAAAGTGATAGACAGATAATCAGTATTTGTTGAACTTTTGTCACTCAAYATGTTACTTGATGTTAAGATTAAATTAAAACACAAAGGCTGGCATTAAAGTTGTTAAACAAGTACATGTGTACACTCAATGAATGTGGCCTTTATTACTTAAACTTTTCTGCACCTATCAGTCCTATTGTTTGCTATCCCTAACCCAAATTTCTATCCTATTTTTATAAATACTGAGTAAGCAGATTAAAAAAAGAACCAATTAAACAATCAAATAATGAGACCTTAGTAGATTTTTTATTTGTTTAATGTTCTATATGTGATTTAAAGTGACTTTAAAAAGTCTTTTAATAAGATCTATGGCTTATGCAATAAGATAATGGAGATGATATGTCCCTCTTAAACAATCTAACAACATTTTTAGTATGTGCAAAAYTGAAGAAGCTGAAAAAGTAGATATACATTTCACTAAAACTTACAAAGTAAGTCACTGATAATATTCTATTAAATTAAACTTTAATTTAGGAAGAGAGAGAGCCATGAAAGCTGAATATAATTGCTTACTTACCAGTTGCAGAGTCCAGTTTTTTAGGGACAAGAACTGTAAAAAGAGGAAGAAGAGATTACTAAATCTGCACCCACTCACATTATACCTCCTTATTTTCACATGGATATTACAGAAGAGTTAAAACAAGTTCCTTTCCCAGTTGAAACAACTTAAAATTCAGGTTGAAACTGATATATTAAGTTAATATATCTGTCTTTTAAATCTTCTATTAAGAGAAGAATGTGAATGTTTAAAAAAAGCAAAAAGGGCTGGGCATGTAGTTCAGTGGTAGAGTGCTTGCCTAACATGCAACAGAGTCTTGGTTTAATTCCCAGAACTACAGGAAAAACAAAAAAGAAAAAGAAAAAAATTGACACTTTTCCAGCTTCATTTCCAAATGATAAAAGTAAGTCACATGTAAAGATAACATACTTTTTGTTATTTTTGAAAAATTGAATGTATTTGAAAAACTAAACATATTTCTGATTTAATAAAAAATTTCATACCAAATGTTATAGAAATAGAGGAGACAAAATATTCATTCATATTATCTTCATTTCTTGGTAGTTCTTAATTCTTTGAGGGCAAGGAACATATCCTAGCACTCTTATAATCATATCAACTCAGCATAATACCTTGTTATGATTAGATAGTTCAATTTCAACTTAAACTGACCAAGTTTCTGTCAAACATGAAACATCATCAATTGTTCATATGGAGAATTAGTTACTCACAGCATTGAGCTCTCCAGTTTTGGGGCCCCATGGTGTATGTGGCTCCAGTAAAACATCACATTCTAGACCCTTTTCATCAGAGGAGCCAACTGCAGGATCACTTGAAAGAAAACACATTTTTGTGAATTGTGAAAATTCTTAAAAATTTAAATGAGAATATCTTTTAACTGCAAATATTTTATTGTCAATTTTAAGAAAAATGGTTTGGATTAAATTCTCACACCACAAAAAAGAAAGGAATACAGTTCCTGAATATAAGGATGCCATTTCAACATTTTCATTTCTTAATTCATCTAGCAATTCCCCTTTATGGAAAGATGACCTCAACCATCAAAACTTTTTCTAGCTGTATCAATTAAGCAATTAAAAAGGGCTTGGGCTAGGGGTATAGCTTGGAGGTAGAGTATTTGCCTAGTACCTATGAAGTTCTAGGATTCATCCCCAGTAACAACAAAAAAATGGGAGAGGAAGTGGAGGAGGAAGAGGGGGAGGGAGAGAAGGGGAAGGAATAAGGAGGAGGTGAAGTAGGAATGCTCAAGCAAATGTGGAACAAAATTAAAAATCCTCAAAAAATTGGATTTAGAATCCCAACTTTTTTAATCACCAAGAACTCTTCATTAGTTTTTTTTTTTCTCTTGGATCTTAGATATTTTWAAGTATTTTGCCTACCAAATAAATATCTGCTTACACTTATTGTAAGCTAACATAATTTCAGCTAAACTATCTGAAACAATGAAAACTATTTAAGGACTGACATTATTGATTTGGGAAAGCACTAGATATCAGGAAATTCTGAAATGGGAACCTTCACTGAATTCCCCCACTGAATAAWGCTGTAATTCAGTGTTGTTGGATTTTTTCCCCCTTACCTAACCAAATCTTTAGAAAAAGGCACAACAATGACATCTTTGTGCTTATTTAGATCGTCCAGTATTCTAGTAGTTGGAACGGACAGCAAATCTCCACCTTCACCTTGATCATGAAGTGTAACCATGTGGTCCTTCACTTTACAGCCCTGTCATGTAAGAGATACTAAATTAGAGAGGTTGATTCATTAATAAAAACATTTCTTTAAAGATCACTGTTCTTATTCTTCTTTGCTTAGTCAAATCATATTTAAAAACATTTCTTGAAAAAAAAAGTAAAAAGATTGAAACATAAGTGTACAGCTTCAAAAATACCCAAGAATATCCATTTAACCACCACCCACCTTAAAAAAAGGAAAACACAAATGCACATATGCACCTGTGCACRCGCACACGCATACACACGAGAACACTCCAGGAATCACCCATGGGTCCATTCCTGATCATTTAACTGCTTCCCTTCTCCCAAAAGATAATTTCTATCCTCTATCCCAATTGTAWGGTACATTCCCAGCCCTTTTTAAAAATTTTTAGACAGTGTCTTGCTAAATTGCCAAGGCTTGTGATTCTCTTGCTTCAGCCTCTTAAATTGCTGGATTACAAGTATGTATGCCTGGCATATTGTCTTTTTTTTTTTTTTTTTGGTACTGATTTGTAGGATTCATATCTATATAGGTGAGTTTGGGGAACATTTACATCTTTGAGTGTTCCAATTTATGAACGTGGTACAACTATCCATTTTTAAAGTCTCCTCATTTTCTCTCATTAAATAATGGTTTGTTTTCTGCACAGAGTTCTTGCATATATTTTGTTAGGAATAAATCTAGGTACTCACTTCTCAACCCATACCTATATATAGGGAGTGGTTCATCTTTGGTGCTTTATAAATATTTTTTTGTATGGATGATGGTGATRAAAAGCTTTAAGTTCCTTTCACCCACTCATGAAATTTAATTATATAACATTTCAATAGTGTTAGCTATCACGGAATATAATCTATACTAGTATACACATACAGCACCAAGATATATGTGCAAAGATGTTCATTACAACACTTGTAATACCATCAATCTGGAAACAACATAAATGTTCATCAACAGGATAATGGTTAAAGAAATTGTGATATATGCATAGTTTGGACTATCACACAGAAGTTAAATGAACTGTCATAGAGAGATAACCTAGGTATGTTGTTGAGTGGAAAAGTGCAAGTTTCAGAATAATATGAGTAGTATAATTCCATATCTGAAACAAAACAAAAAAATACAAATCATTTGTGCCTAAAATGTATTTAAAAGGTCCAAAAGGAAACTATTAAACATAGTTACCTATAAGGAAATGGAGACTAGGAGAATGGTGTTAAGAGGGACTTTATTTCTTCTTATACTTATTTATGTACTGTTAGAAAACTTTTCTACATGAATATATTACTTTTATACTTTAAAAACAATATGAGGAGAAAGGGTTTACATAAAAGTGTTAGGGAGTGTGTTACTATAAAAGCGCAACATTCAAAATTTACCTTTGTAAGCTGAGTGGGATCAAATCGAAGAACCTTTTGATTGCAGCAGGGATAAATTCCAGTGCCAACAGTGCTCAGTGAGTTTGCTGCAGTAGAATAAACTACTGTTTCTGAGTGGTACTGACAATGTGAAAGTTCAATACAGAGAAAAGCCTGAGAAAAAGAAATATATAAAATCAATGATTATTCCCACAATGAAATTATACATCTCAGGGGTTGGGGKTGTGGCTTGTGGTGGAGCGCTTGTCTGGCACATGTGAGGCACTGGGTTCAATCCTCAGCATCACATAAAAATAAATAAATAATGGGCTGGGGATGTAGCTCAAGTGGTAGCGCGCTCGCCTGGCATGCGTGTGGCCCGGGTTCGATCCTCACCACCACATACAAACAAAGATGTTGTGTCTGCCGAAAACTAAAAAATAAATATTAAAAAAAATTCTCTCTCTCTCTCTCTCTCTCTCTCTCAAAATAAATAAATAAACAAAATAAAGGGGCCCAAAACCACAAATATACGGAGCACTGGAGGAACCCAGCAACCCCATCAGGGTAGTGCCCAGGACACATTGTCCATCAGATCCCTCATCAGACAAACCAGAGGGAGCGCAGGGTTGGACATCTGCGCCTCCACCAGAGCAGTACTAACTCCAGAGATGGGAGTTCAATCATTCCCACAGGGGTAAAAGGACCTCTTCCCAAAGGAACAGTGGGCTTGGGAGCAGCTCTTCTACTCTAACAGGACTTATGATAAGTCCTGGGGTAATTGATCCTGATTATGATGGTGAAATAAAAATTATAGCCAGTTCTCCAAAGGGTATATCAGTAATTTCACCAGGAGATAGAATAGCACAGTTACTAATAATACCCAGCCTACATGATAAATTTTTCAGTTGTACTGTAGAAAGAGGTTCCAAGGGATTAGGCTCCATGGGTGTAGATTGGGCTATGCTTTCTTTAAATTTAGATTCTTGCCCCATGCTAAAACTAAATATTCAAGGACATGAATTTAATGGGCTACTGGATACAGGTGCAGACCTTAGAAAAATAAAGTTCGTTTCTCTTGACAAGTGGCTCCTGAATTGTGCCCAGCCAGACTGTGGCATCCATCAACAACTAAAAAAATATTTTTTAAAATTATACATCTCAAAAATACTATATTGAAAAACATATTATGTATCTCACTTATATGAAATGTACCAGAAAGGCAGATTTATAGATAAAGTAGATTAATGATTGTCACAGGGAGTGGAAGCAGATGGGCAAATGGGACCTTTCTGGGTGATGAAAATGTACTATAATCAGTTTGTGGTGATTATTGTATAACTGTAAATTTACCAAAAATTACGTAGTTATGATAAGTGAATTTTATAGCATGTAGTGTACCTCAATAAAGTTATGAAAAAGAAAAACCACTTTATTCAAAATTCTAATGAATTAAACTGATATTTACTCAGAAAATTTCCAATGAAACATGCAATAAAAATTTGCCTTACTTTATTATTCCTTGACACATATACACATATATATTTCTTGGTGGTATGGGAATTGAACCCAGGGGTGCTTTACCACACCCTAAGGAAATGGAGACTAGGAGAATGGTATTAAGAAGGACTTCTATTTCTTCTTATACTTATTTATGTACTGTTAGAAAACTAACAGAAAACTGGAATTTTATTATTTTGAGMCAGGCTCTTGCTAAATTTCTGATGCTGTCCTTGAACTTGTGATCTTCCTGCCTCAGCCTCATGAGTCTCTGGGATTACACATGTGCACCACTGTGCCTGGCTCCTTGATAATTTTTTCTATGACATATTTTTGAGGTAAATATTTATCATCAGTATTAATGAAAATTGTCCTTYGAGTTATTAGAGAAAAGACCTTATCAAGGTTTAATTATAGATTAAATAATCAGATTTCAAATGTGTATATAAATTGGCAAAAATTCAAAGACAAAAAAAAATTAGCTGGGCAGAGTCTCTGGCTCACACCTGTAATCCCAGCAGTTAGGGCTGAGGCAGGAAGATCACAAGTTCAAGACCAGCCTCAGCAACTTAGTGAGGCCCAAGCAACTTAGCGAGACCCTGTCTCAAAAATTAAAAAAATTAAAAAGGGCTGGAGGRACTGGGGCTGTAGCTCAGTGGCAGAGTGCTTGCCTAGCATGTGTTATGCACTGGGTTCAATCCTTAGCATCACATAAAAATAAACAAATAAAATAAAGGCATTCTGTCCATCTATACCTACAAAAAATAGAAAAAAAAAAAAAAGGAATGGGGATGTGTCTCAGTGGTTGAGAGCCCATGGGTTCAATCCCCAGTACCAAAACAAAACAAAACAACAAACATAAAGTCCCCACCATCAACAAATTAACACCCCCCCCCAAATCAAACAAACCTGACAATATCAAATGTTAGTGAGATATAGAGAAATAAGAACTCTGACACATACCTGGTAGGAATGCAAAAAGGTTGAGGAACTTTAGAAAACTGCTAGGTAAATGGTAAATTTTATATTTACTATAGAATCTTATAATCTTACTTCTAGGAAATTAATCAAGAAAAGTAAAAACCTATATTCATAGGAAAACCTGTAAGGAAATGTTTATAGCAACTTTCTTCATAATGGTTCTCATCTAGAATCACTACAAATGTCCTTCAGCTGGCAAATGGAATAACGTATTGTGCTATATTCATATAACGACTCTACCTGGCAATAAAAAGAAACAAACCAATACATGCAACAATAGGGGAAAATTTCAATTCCATTTTGCTGAATGAAGGAAGTTATAGTTGAATAGCTAAATACTGTATGGTTTTATTTAGATGATATCCTGCAAATGGCAAAACTATAGACAGAAAACAGATCAGACTCCAGTTCAGAGTGACTGGAATCACTTCTTCCTGGGAAGAAGAAATTAACTGAAAAAAGGCAAATGKAAGCTTTTTAGAGTGATGGAAGTATTCTGTGCTTTAATGGTAATGGCAGTAATATTACTATGTGTATTTACCAACCTCGATATGGATGGATTTTATTATATATAGAATATGATTCAGTAAATTTGATTTAAAAATTTGTGGGAAGGGCTAGGGATGTGGCTCAGTGGTAGAGCACTTGTCTAGCATTTGTGAAGCCCTGGGTTTGAACCCTAGCACTGTAAAAATAAAATAAAATTAAAAAACCCTAGCACTGTAAAAATAAAATAAAATAAAATCCTGGAAACATAGAGAGCTCATTAAGTGGGAACTTATATGTTTGTAAATCCCACTCTGATAGTTTTGATAAACTGATTTTCCTTCCCTCTATTGAAAATCATTACCAAAGTGAAAGAGGAAGAACTTCTAGGAGGGGAGGAATACTTTAAAAATTCATAAGAAATTATATGTAGAAAACTTGGGACTGGGGTTGTGGTTCAGTGGTAGAGTGCCTGCCTGGGTTCGATCCTCAGCACCACACAGAAATAAAATAAAGATATTGTGTCCACCTAAACTAAAAAATAAATTAAAAAAGAAATTATATGTAGAAAACTTGATTTATAATAAGATTAATTAGGGATTAACTTTTCTAAAGACCTATTTTTAATTTTTTTTTTTTGTAGTTGTACATGGACAGAATGTACTTTGTTTATTTTTATGTGGTGCTGAGGATCGAACCCAGTGCCTCACATGTGAGAGTCAAGCGCTCTGCCACTGAGCTATAGCCCCAGCCCCATTTCATCCTATAAAATTTTCTTTCAAATAGCAAGATTTCTTGTAATTTTATTATAGTCTTCATTCATAAAAATGAACAGGGCTAGGGGCTGGGGTTGTGGCTCAGCAGTAAAAACACTTACCTAGCTTGTGCGAGACCCTGGGTCCGATCCTCAGCACCACATATAAATAAATAAAATAAAGTTTAAAAAAATGAACAGGGCTAGGGATATAGCTCAGTGGTATAGTGCTTGTCTAGCATGTCTGAGGTCCTGGGCTTGATTTCCAGTGCCATAAAAAAACAAAAACCCAAACCTTTTTGGGAACACAATTGTTTTAACAAAAACAATTATAATTAAAACACACAATCGCACAAACACACCCCAATAGCACCCTATCCATAAAGTGCTTCTGAATTTCCACAGAAATTTACTGGCCAACATGGAAATATTTTGACTAAGAATAATTAGAGGAAGTAAGGATTTTTTTTTTTTTAAGCATTGAAACAATAAATTTGGTCACTCCCTCCCCACTGCCCCAATACTGGGGATTGAGCTCAGGGACACTCTACCATTGAGATACATCTCTACATCCCCAGATTTTTATTGAAATAGGGTCTTGGCTAAGTTGCCACGGCTGGCTTCAAACACTTTTGATCTGCCTGCCTCAGTTTCTGAAATCATTGGGATGACAAGGATATTGGGCACTTAAAACCTGTTGCTTTTCTAAAATCCAGTCAGGAACTGATTATTTCTTTTTTAAAAAAATATTTATTTTTTTACTTTTAGGTGGACACAATATCTTTATTTTTTATTTTTATGTGGTATTGAGGATCAAACCCATCGTACCATGCATGCCACACAAGCGCGCTACTGCTTGAGCCACATCCCCAGCCCAGGAACTGATTATTTCATCAATAAAAATAAAATAGAGGGGGAAACAATTGCAAGAGAAATGAAGCCAGATACAAGCAATGTTTAACAGCAACACTGCTTTTGCCACTAGTTTGTTTGTTTTTTTTAAACTGGGATTGAACCCAGGGGTGCTTTCCCACTGAGCTACATTCCCAGCCCTTTTTATTTATTTTGAGACTGGGTCTCACCAACTTGCTTAGGGCCCTACTCAATTGCTGAGGTTGGCCTTGAATTTGTGATCATCTTGTCTCAGCCTCCCAAGTTGCTGGGATTAAAGGCATGTGCCACCGCACCCAGCAGCCACTATTTCTTTAAAAGAAATGTTGGATATTGTCCAAACACATCCAAATTTAACAAATTAAACACAAGATATCAAAAGAGACTTGCCCTTAACATTTGCAGAGTARGATTTAAAAAAAAATAACTCACCTGATAACATCTTGAACAAGTCAGCCAGTTGACTGTTCCCCACAATCGCCAATACACATCTCTCCAAGATTTTAGTTCTTCAAAAAGGGTATTCAAATACTCATGAACATCCCAAGTCTTATCTCTGGAGAAAGAGCCTTAATTGTTATATATTGTTATAAGGCAAGCACCATAACCAATTTGTTCTAAATAAATATTTTTAGATTTGTAGCTTATTTCCAGAATACTCCTCAGGTATGATATGGACTACATTGATAGGTAGATAAAATTTCACTTGGGAGTTTGATTATTCTTATTCTGTGGACAACAGAAGATAGTATGAAAGGTTGAATGTCAAATTGTTTTGCTAAGCTAGAAGAAGTATTATTAATTAAGTAGTATAAACAGGCCAATACTTGGGACTTAGGCATATGTTGTTAAAGAAAYCTTTATTCTAACTGCATTTGTTCAAAGAAATGTTATTAATAACTCATGATTCAAAAAAACCTATGTCATTTGTTATATATATTTGCAGTAAAATGAATGGAACTTGAGAACATTATGATAAGTAAAATAAGCCAAACTCAGAAAGCTGAGGGTCATATGATTTCTGTTACATGTGGAAGTGATATGGAAAAGGGCAAAAAAAGGGAAGGGGGGGATGTCATGAAAATAGAAGGGAGATCAGATAGACCAGAGGAAGGGACCAGAGGAAGGGAGGACAGGAGGGAAAGGAAGACACTGGGGAATAAAATTCATCAAATTATATTGTTCTATTGTGTGCATGTATGAATATATAACAGKTAAATCTACAGGTATGTATAATTACAATGCATCAATAAAAATAAMAGGCCATATTGATGTGTTGGTTCTTTACATTATTTTCAAACAGCATTTTCTTGTAATTGAGCAATATAGCTATATACAACTAGGTCTTATTAATATACATTTTAAAATTAAATATAGCAAAGGCTTAAAACTATTTGCTATGGCCACATGTATCTCAAGTTCTTTTWAAGTCTTTATTCTAATCTAATTTTTGCTATTTTTTTTGCTAAGTTCAATAAGTATCAAAATGCCATCATGTTATTACAGATTGAATAGGCACATTTGTTTAAAAAAGTTATTTAAAGACTATTTAAAAATAWTTTTTTTGTAGTGTAGATGGACAGCATGCCTTTATTTTATTTGTGTATTTTTTTTATGTAGTGTTGAGAATGGAACCCAATGCCTCCCACGTCTAAGGCAAGTTCTCTGCCACGAGCTACAGCCCCAGCTGTATTTTTAAAAATACTATTTAAAAAAATATATTTTTAGTTGAGGATGGACACAATGCCTTTATTTTTCATTTATTTTTATGGTGCTGAGGATTGAACCCAGAGCCTCACCCATTCGAGGCAAGCACTCTACCACTGAGCTATGACCCCAGCCCCTTAAAGACTCTATTTTTAAAATGTATACATGGCCAAGTGTGGTGTTCCATCCCTGTAATACCAGAAACTCAGGAGGCTGAGGCAGAAGGATTACAAGATCAAGGATAGTTCTAGCTATAGAACTATAGATTCACTGATTATTGTATTGAAAGAAAAGGAAACATTTTAAAGTTGACTGTGCTACTAATACTAAGGTTAAATTAAGTGTTACCCAGTATTTCTGTTTTGATGTTTAAGATATACAATGTAATACAGTTTTTTTTTTTTTTAAATAAAAGGGCTATCCACTTTTTGGGAGGGAGGGGGGTACCAGGGTTTGAACTCAGGGGCACTGGACCACTGAGCCACATCCTCAGTCCTATTTCATATTTTTATTTAGAGACAGGGTCTCACTGAGTTGCTTAGCACCTCGATTTTGCTGAGGCTGGCTTTGAACTTGTGATCCTTCCATCTCAGCCTCCCAAGCTGCTGGGATTACAGGTGTGTGCCACTCTGCCTGGAAGGACTATATATATATATATATTTTTTAAGTTGTAGATGGACACAATACCTTTATTTTGTTTACTTATTTTTATGTGGTACTGAGGATCCAACCCAGTACCTCACACATGCCAGGGATGCACTCGACCACTGAGCCACCACCCCAGCTCCAGGCTATACATTTTTAATACAGAAAAAGAACAAGCAAAAAGAAAATTAAAGTCATTCATAATACTATCATTCAAAGATAACACCACAGTTAATATTTTAGTGAACATGTTTGAAGTTTTATTTTCCCCTATTTTCAAAAATTTACCATTAATGACTTTCTATGCAAGTATATATATTTTTGCAACATTATTCTTTCTTTTTGGTTCCAGGGATTTAACTCAGGGGCACTTGACCTCTGAGCCACATCCCCAGCTCTATTTTTGTATTTTATTTAGAGACAGAGTCTCACTGAGTTGCTTAGCACCTCACTTTTGCTGAGGCTGGCTTTGAGCTCATGATCCTCCTGTCTCAGCCTCCTGAGCTGTTGGGATTACAGGCATGCACCACCATGCCCAGCTCTGCAACATTCTTAAAGTCTGCACATTAACAATTGACTAGAGGGGCTGGGAATGTAGCTTAGTGGTAGAGCAATTACCTAGATTGTGTAAGGCCCTGGGTTCCATCTCCAGCATAGAAAGAAAAAAAAAAAAGAATTGATATGTTTTATATACTACACTATAGTATGGATATATATATATATTTTAATAATTTGGGTGTTTCTTTTTTTTTTTGGCTAGCTAAAATACTTCGTATAGCAATAAGTGTTCTCATCAAATGCTTTCACAAAGCCAACATTAGATAAATTCCTAACAGCAGGATGTTGTCAAAGAATACATACATTGTAAAGTTTCTGCTTTTCCAAGAGATTATAGCAATTTACAACCAACCCCCCTTCCAACTCAGAATGAGAACTTGGGTTAAACTTAAAAAGGACAATAGGTATTATGCATTAATGAAATATATATTAATAGAATACTGACCAATTATGAAGAATAAATAGATTATGGAAACTCTGAACTTAATTTTTCTCATTCACCAAAATTCACTTGAAGCCAAAATATAACACTTATACAGATAACTAAATCATTTTAATGGCATTGACCAGAATATCTTTCAAGATTAATATAATTTGGGGCTGGGATTGTGGCTCAGTGGCAGAGCGCTTGCCTTGCACATGTGAGGCCCTGGATTCGATCCTCAGCACCATATAAAAATGAATAAACAAAGATATTTAAAAAAAGATTAATAAATTTTTATCATTTTGAAGTTTGAAGACACTATATAATTTGCCCAGTAAATAAAATGTAGCTTTGGGCTGAGGATGTGGCTCAAGCGGTAGCGCACTCGCCTGGCCTGCATGGGCGCTGGGTTCAATCCTCAGCACTACATAAAAATAAAAGATGTTGTGTCCACCTAAAAATAAAATAAAATAAAATGTAGTTTTTACAACAACGTTGTTTTGTTTTCTAAATCAAAGTTGTATCATATGCAGAAAAGACACTATCCTATTCCTTATGAAAGAAGTTATACTTTTATAAATATACTAGAAATTCACACAGAAAAGCTTCATTTTATCTTCACTGCACCTTATGTGAACATAGATAATATTTCCATGTCGATCGACATTAATTTTTCCAGGAACACAAGAAATTCTTCTTTCTGTTTCTTTTGTTAAAAGTTTCTTACACAAACAGCATCTATAACCCAAAGAAGATAGAAAAATTATTTTTAAAAACAGTAAATTAAGAAATATGGCTGTATTATATGTCATACTAAAGGAAAAACATTACCTATATAATGTTGCAGCATTACTCCGAGAATCTGGATTCAAGTACTCAGGATCAAACAGTCTCTCAATCTTCTTACAAAAAAGTTTACTATTAATAATAAATTACCAAAAATTAATTATCTATATTTACTTTATAAAAATATTTTATAGTGAGAA